CCTCGTATCGCCCTTGATTCGCGAGAAGCAGGTCACGACTGCCGGAAATGAGCTGCCACACAAGACCCCGCAGACAATCTGGAATTCCCTTCCGTATTCGTCTTTTCACGATCATAGGTTTCTTCTTCTCATATTGTTTCCAGTCTGCCCCACCAGCTCCGATCATTTTCCTCCATTTCCGCAATCTTCGCTCCTCCCTGCAAGATTTGAAACCCATCCATCATCGTCATTCACATTGCTCTCTCTCTCTCTCTCTCTCTCTCTCTCTCWCACACACACACACACACACACACACACAGTGTGTGTGTTCTCTGTGTGTGTGTGTGTGTGTGTGTGTGTGTGTGTCTTGTCGTGTGTATGGGGGAGAGTTGTGTGACAGGGAGAAAGAGAGAGAGAGAAAGCAGATAAACGTTTGGGAGAGAATGGTATTCTCCATCTCTGTAATTGCAAGATTTCTGCTTCCCCTCTCTCCCTTCCTTTCAACTTGACCCCTTGTCCTCTTTCCTCACCAACCCGTCCCTCCCCCTTTCCCTTCCTCTACTCCGTCTCTGCATCCTCTGTCTCCTCTTCTTTTCCACTTGACCCATTCTCGTCTTTCCTCTCCAACCCCGCCCATCCACATATGCCTTCCTCTACTCCCTCTCTGCATCTCCTTCCCTCCTCCCATCCTTCCCTACCCATCGCCAACCTCCCTCTCTCTCTCTCTCTCTCTCTCTCTCTCTCTCTCTGTGTTCTTCTCCATCGTCAAACCCCGACCTCCTTCCTGTCCCCTCCCCCCCTCCCCCCCCCCTTCAACGTCGCAACTGATAATCTGCTCAACCCCGGGCGATAACTGCCATTTTTCTGGCATGCCCTCTTCCACAGTCTGTCTATTCCATTCATTCATACGGCCACCTTCTTTCCAATGCCAGTGCATATCCATCCATGGTCATTCCACATGACCCATTTATCAGACTGCCTGAATGCAGAGCATAGCACGTTGCTGGACGTGTGCGAGCATCGCAGCTCTCCAAGCCAGACGCACGCCCTCCCTCTCCCTACCCAAGACGCCCTCCCCTCGCTCTCCCTACCCAAGACGCCCCTCCCTCGCTCTCCCTACCCAAGACGCCCTTCCTCCCTCCCTCCCTCCCTCCCTCCCCCGTCTCTGTAGGTGTAGTCGCACACCGCACACACGCACAAGAAGAAGCAGTCAGGAAGGGAGCGAGCAGATGGTGAGAGCAGCCGTACGAGAAGAGAAACTGGGTAGCAAGCGCGTAGGTGCTGAGTGCAGTCACTACACCCACACGCACACACACACACACACACAGATAAACCGATACTTGTCGGACGCAGAGGGCGGTGTACATGTCTATACATTTATAGAGACACAGAGGCAAAGATACTTCTTGCCACAGACAGGTACAAACTAGGAGCGTATTCGACAAAGAAAAAAAAAAAAAAAGAAAAAAAAAAGAGCGCATTTCAAACGTTGCCGAGCGAAAAAAG